TTTGCAGCAATCCCTGCTCCCCCATCTCCCATTTCCAGCATTCCCTGCTCTCCCATGTCCCATTTGCAGCAATCCCTGCTCCCCATGTCCCATTTGCAGCAATCCCTGCTCTCCCATGTCCCGTTTGCAGCAATCCCTGCTCTCCCATGTCCCATTTGCAGCAATCCCTGCCCCTGCCAGCTGCAGGAGCCCAGGTGTGCAGGGCTCCCTGGGTGCTGCAGGAGCGTGGAGCAGTGATGGATGTTCTGTGTCTGTCCCCCAGTGTTCAGCAGGTCCCTCCCTGTGCTTGGGAAAGCTCCTACAGATGTTCCTGTCTCTGTTCTGTGTTTCCCCGCCCTCTGGGCTGAAGAATTGGGGTTCTCCCCTCAGCACACAGGTTTTGCTCTGTGCACAAGAGCAGCACAGCAGCCCTGCAGTGGGGTCTGTGGTGCTGGTGTTGAACCTCCACTTTCCCAAGGGAATGGTTCTGAGGGCATAAATGCTTCCCCAGGGAGGGAGGGGATGAGGAAGAGACCTGGGGAAATGTTCTCAAGTTGCCCATCTGGGATTTATCTCTGTGTTCAGTGACTGAATTTCCTATTTAGTGATTTATTTGGGGTCCCAGGGGCAGGAGCAGCGTTCCTGCTCTGTGTCCCTGAGCTTTGTCCCTCTGTGCTGAGCCCAGGACACCCCTAGGGCCAGCAGCAGCCTCTCCCTGTTCTGTTTCAAACCCAGCCATGACACTCCCTGTGGTTTTGCCTTTCTCCTGGAGTTTGTTTTTCCACGTTTGAGCTGTTCCATGAGGCTGCAGCAGGGTGCTGTGCTCTGCCTTGCTGCCAGCCCTCAGCTGGGGTTTGCTTCTCCAGAGCTTTGGCCAATTTCCTTTCCCCTTGCCTGGTCCTCCTGGCCACGTGTGGGCCAGGAGAGCCACCAAGGCTTGTCCTCAAACTGGAACAGACCTGAGGGATGTGGATTCTCCAGTGTGATGTAGACTCAGCCTTTTCTTGGAGGGAGCCCCAGTTTGGGGTAAAAAACCTGGAAAAGCATCCCCAGGTGGGAGAAGTGTTGGGTTTGGAGTTGTTGGTTTCCCTCTCTTCACGTCTGCAGGAAGTGGGTTCTGTGTGTCTCATGTTTTAAGAGTTGCAACTAATGTTTATAAAGAGCTTGTTATTTACGTTTTAAGCACTTTAAAAAAAAATAAAAGTTGTTCAAGCTGTTCCTAGACACTTCTGATTCATTGACAACAGCGTCTGTGCTGACGGCGCCTGGACACCGAGTGACATTTCTGTTTGTCTGCTGCACGAGGAGGAGGAGGAGGAGGAGGAGGAGGAGGGTGTCCAACTCCTCCAGCAGCTTTTCCACCTGTCCTGACAGTCCCTGAGTGCTGTGCAGTGGGAATGCTGCAGGAACATGGAGTTCCACTCCAAATCCTGCTCCTGGCCCAGGTGTGGGGCATGAGGAATTTGGGATCCTTTGGGGTTGTTGTGGGTGTGCCCTGAGCACCCAGGGAGTGAGGCTGGGGTTGGATGGGGGGTTGGGATTCTTTTGGGTTTTTTGTGTTGTGCCCTGAGCACCCAGGGAAAGGAAATTTCAAGGAAATTTCAAAGAAAGGAAATTTCACAGGAAGGGAAAAAGGAAGAGGGAAGAGGGAAGAGGGAAGAGGGAAGGAAAGGAAAGGAAAGGAAAGGAAAGGAAAGGAAAGGAAAGGAAAGGAAAGGAAAGGAAAGGAAAGGAAAGGAAAGGAAAGGAAAGGAAAAGGAAAGGGAAAGGAAAGGGAAAGGAAAGGGAAAGGGAAGGGAAAGGGAAGGGAAAGGAAAGGGAAGGGAAAGGGAAGGGAAAAGGGGGAAAAGGGAAGGCACCTGGTTCCATTGGTGCTCCTGGGAGCTCTGATGTCCCAGACTCCTCCCCAGCTCTGTTCCCCCACTTTTCCCCACTGAGCCCTTTTTCTTCCCAGCTCCTTCTCTCTGTTGAAGCCTTTCCCCTGAAGAACATGAGCTGCCCTCAGCCCCCAGCAATGACTCTGCTGCTCCCCCAGAGGAGCTCCCCCAGCTCCAACCTGGTTCATTTTCCCTGCAGCTGCAGGGATGCAGCCCCTGGGGAGCTGGGCATGCCTGGGGGGTCCCTGGGGGGCTCACCAGGGAAATGCTGGGGCTAAGCTGGGACCCTGTGAAAGTCCTGGAGGAGCTGGGCTCTGGAGTTGGGCAAACCAAGGATTTAATCCCAAATTCCCACTGAGCCCTGTCTGGAGCACAGAGCACCCCCAGCCCTGCAGGAGGAGGGAGCCTGGCTACTGCTCCAGGCTCCAGCTCTGCTGCCCAAAGCTTTCTCCAGATCTGCCTTTCCAAGCAATGTTCCTGTGCCTCTATCCCAGTGTCCCCCCTGGGCACCCCAAAATTCCCTCATAGTGTGGGGGGACCCTGGATGGGCACCAGGTGCCCCCAAAGCTGCTCTCACTCCCCTCTCAGCTGGGCAGGGAGAGAAAACACAACAAAAATCCCATCTGGGGATGAGGGCAGGGAGAGATCCCTCAGAACCCACTGGAACGGGCACAAGAGATGGAGGAAATCAGTTTAATTTATTAATTTCATCTATTGCAAATCCAACCAGAGCAGGGCAACAAGAAATAACCCCAAATTTTAAATCCTTTTTCTCCACCCCTCCTTCCTTCCCAGGCTCTCCTCCTGCTTCTCTCCCTCCTCCTTCCCAGCACTGCAGGGGGACAGGGAATGGGGCTGTGCTCAATCCCTCACACATGATCACTGTGCTCCTTGCTCCTTCCTCCTCCTCCTTCTCCTCCTCCTCCTCCTTCTTCTGACACTCTGCCCCTGCTCCAATGTGGGCTTCCCTTGGAGTCACAGCTCCTTCAGGGGTCACAGCTCCTTCAGGGACTTCTCATGGGGCCAAATCTCCTTCAAGGGCTTCCCTTGGGGTCACAGCTCCTTCAGGGGCTTCTTATGGGGCCAAACCTCCTTCTGGAGCTTCTCCTGGGGTTCAGTCTCCTTCAGGGGCTTCCCATAGGATCACAGCTCCTTCAGGAATTTCTTATGGGGTTCAGTCTCCTTCAAGAGCCTCCCATGGGATCACAGCTCCTTCAGGGACTTTTTATGGGGTCACAGCTCCTTCAGGGGCTTCCCTTGGGGTCACAACTCCAGATCTCCTCACAGGAGCCCCCTGGAGTTCCTCTCCCCCAAACCCCATTTCTGGATGAGCTCACACCATGGCTGGGGGATCATTCCCTAGGTTCGGATGAGCTCACACCAAGGTTGGGGGGTTATTCCCCATTTCTGGATGAGCTCACCCCATGGATTTGGGGCTATTCCCATTCCTGGATGAGCTCACACCACGGCTGTGGGGTTATTTCCTAGTTTTGGATGAGTTCACCCCATGGCTAGGGGGTTATTCCCCCTCCCCAAAAATCCCCAAAATTGGATCAAACCGTTGTTTTTGGTGGGGGATCTCCCCCTCCTCCCAGGCAGGGAAGCACAAGTTGCCAGCCTGGATGGATCTGATGGGATTGAATCAGCCAAGGAATTGATATTCTGCTGGGATGGCACCAAAATGTGATAGTCTTCTGTCACTCCACATGGGCTGGGGATAAACAGATTCTCTCCCCTCTGCTGTCAGCAAACACGGCTGTGGCAGCAGCAGCTCCCGGCAAGGGGAAAGGGAGAAAGGGGGGGGAAAGGGGTTTTGGGCAGCCTCCATCCCCACATGAATCTGGGATTTGGGGCAGCCTGATCCTCACACAGATCTGGGATGGATTTGGGGCAGCTCGATCCTGGGATGAACTTCTGGGGATGGATTTGGGGCAGCCTCAACCCTCACACAAAGCCTAGGATGGATCTGGGGCACCTCCAGTCTGGGATGGACCTTTGGGGACAGGTTTGGGGCAGCCTCCATCCTCACACAGATCCCAGGATGAGCTTTGAGGGTGGATTTGGAGCAGGTCCATCCTTACGTAGATCTGAGATGGATTTGGGGCAGGCTCCATCCTCACATAGAGCCTGGGCTGGGCCTTGGGGATGGATTTGGGGCAGCCTCCATCACCACACAGATCTGGGATGAATTTTGGGATGGGTTTGGGGCAGCCTCCATCCTGGGATG